TTGCTTATTATCTGATTTACAGTTCTATTGAAACAAAAAAGGAATATTCTCTCAAACCATATTTGTTACCAGGATGAATCACCGTGTTCATCTTCCTGTAGCAGACCTGAACTGATTTTTCAAGCCATATGTTTGAGCAAGCTTGCTGCATATACCTGCAGTGGTGTGATCAGATATGTACTAAAATATATATGTGCCGGGATCAGGTGATTAACTTAAAATATATATAACAATTCTGGACCCGGGCAATCTATATTCTATACTAGGAAAAGATGAATTCTGCAACTATTAGAGATGCCAATCAAATTGGCATATTGTTCTGCTTTGCACAATTGGTACTTGACTGTTTAGTGTTTTACATCACTGAGTCCGATTGTGCTAGACATGGGGAGGGAAGAGAGCTGTGCTAGATGTTGACAATTACACGTGTACACCACCACAAGCCACTGACCAATTTTACATTACAGTGATACAAAGTGCTTGGATTGGGGGGGGTACCTCCTGCTCTCTCACTCCTTTTCCCTCCTGACTAATCAAATCTGCCAAGATGGAACTGATGCTGTGGCTCGGGGAGGTGATCAACCTTTCTTAAAGAAAAGGGCTGTCTCTTCCTGTCTAAAGGAAGCTGTCACTTTAAAAGAAACCTGCCCTTGACTGAGAAGTTTTTTGGTTAGTATGAATTGAGAAGATAGTGGTCCTGCAGCTCCAAGCGCACTTGCACAATACTGATAAACTGGATCCATTTCAGTTGGGCTCTCAGCAAAGATGTGGGACTGACACAATGATCTCAATGGTTTTTAATGGTTTTGCTTAATCTCATTGGTTTTTATAGTGGGCCTGATTTATAGGATTTAATTACAGTGGTGCCTCGCTTAACGAGTGCCTCGTTTAGCGATGAATTCGCACAACGATGTGTTTTTTAGAAAATAATATGCACCGTATAATGATGTTTCCTATGGGCGATTTTCGCTTAGCGAATTTTGGGACCATGCTTCGCATAACGAATGCGATTTTAGGTCCCCTGCTTCACTTAACGATGTTTCTTTTTTCAATTTAAAAAGTGCCTTAGAAGGGTCAAAAACGGTTCTAAATGCTTGGATTCGTTAGAGGACCCCCTAAGTCATGGGCAGATCTGATTTGGCTTTGATCTGACTTTTCGTTAATTTATGGTGAATTTTTTTTTTCGGCCCATAGGAACCAATGGACCTGTCAAAATCTGACAGCTCCATGCTTTCCTATGGGGGAGAAAACAATTCAACATAAATTAACGAAAGTTCAGACCAAAGCCAAATCAGGTTTGCACACGACTTAGGGGGTCCTCTAACGAACCCAAGCATTTAGAACAGTTGCTGAGTCTTCGTTACTTTTTTGTGAATTTTTTCTTCCCCCATAGGAAACAATAGAGCTGTCAGATTTTGACAGCTGTCAAAAGTTGGGGGGAAAAAATTCACCATAAATTAACGAAAAGTCAGATCAAAACCAAATCAGATCTGCCCATGACTTAGGGGGTCCTCTAACGAATCCAAGCATTTAGAACCGTTTTTGACCCTTCTAAGGCACTTTTTAAATTGAAAAAAGAAACATCGTTAAGTGAAGCAGGGGACCTAAAATCGATCACAGTGACAGATCAGCTCTCCCCTTTATCACAACAATACACCCACAACAAAAACACTGTGATCACCATAATCACCCAATTTCCTGAAAAGGACAAAAGCTGTTCCCACAGCTATAAATACGCAACTATCCAACAAACTGCAACAGAGCACAGACAGAGTTCTGATTCCTGTCCTCTGAAGATGCCGGCCACAGAGACTGGTGAAACATTAGGAAGAAAAACCTTAAGAACACGGCCAAACAACCCGGAAAACCCACAACAGACAACAGATCCCGGCCATGAAAGCCTTTCAGAATATATTATTTTACCTCTTTTCATTGTTGTAAAAGTTTGTAAGCTGCCTTGAGTCCTATATTTTAATGGACAGGTGGGGTATGAAACAAACAAACAAACAAATGAATTGCTCTTTCTCATTTTAAGGAAAGCTAAGATTTTCAAAAAGTGAACTTTGAAACCAGAAACACATTTTTCACTTTTTCTGCTCTCACATAAAACTGTGATATGCACTAGCTACAATCCCTATTGCCATGTTATTTTAAAGGCACATTTGTAAAGGAACATTTGTTTCAGGTCCCTGATAACTATATACAGTATGTTAAGACATAAGCAGTAGTTTGACAAATCAGGTCCCTGATAACTATATATGTTAAGACATAAGCAGTAGTTTGACAAGATCAGAACTGGCAGAAATATTTGCAGAGAAATTTCAGTGTGAGATTGATTCAGCTTGAAATCTATGTTGTTTATACAGGATATTCATTCAGTCTATTAAAACCATTATGGTAGAACAACGGACTTTGGAATAATGTTGCACGTATTGGAATAACATGCTCTGGCCAAAGGGGTTTTAAAACTTAAGTAGTTGTGAGCAGTTATAATAAATACAGGGAGACATTGTTGTGTGAGTATTAATGATTTCTGTGATATTGATCGATCAACCTGTCTACCTATCTACCTATCTATCATATTGCTTTTGCTAATCTAATATGGCCTTTCAAAGCAACTTAAAATTAAAATACTGTATAAACACAGTGGTACAAAATGTGAAGATGTACTGTGTTACTGTCTTTTGTGTTTTCCAGTTGTGCTTTTGTCAGTCCACACACCAAGCTGTTCTAACACAACTAATGAAAAAGAAGGAGCTGTACATAGACTCAGGGGGCTGACTGATGCTAAAGATGTCAATCCACAGGAGCACCTCTAGTGTTTATTTGCATAGTCTTATGGTTCCTGGTAGCTGATGTCATAGTCAGGGTCAAGGCTTTTCCCTTCAGAGGGAGGGACAGAGGGAGCTGTGGATATAACTAAGGTTTTGCTAATACAAAAGATGCTAATTGCTCTCTGCAGACTAATGCAGCCTACGTATGTATGTAAACATCATTGATCTCTTTGTTAATAGGATAAGGGTGTTTGTAGAAGACTATATACCTCTTTGTGGAGGAATATGAACAAACAAGCAAATGAATAAACAAATAAATATTCTTTTGTCTATTCAAGGTAGTTTCAACAGCTTAGCAGTATTCGTAGATGTTGATGGAAACTGAGTCTGCATTGGTGGATCTGCATGCCCATGCTGTTCTCATGAGGCATGGGATTTAGGTGTATGCAGGTGTAAGAAAGTGTGTGGAAATTCACATAATGTTTTCCTGCTTTTATAGTTAATTTTTTGCAGTTAATCTTAATCATAACTTTGTGTTTTACTTAAAAATACATATACCCCATTGTCAGTGTAACCAAAATTCTGTGAAAAGTTGAATTGTGCATCTTGTATACAGTAAATTATGTGTGTATTCATTCAAATATTGTAAATAATTTGTTTTCTGCTTATTTATTATTCTGCCTAATACATTTTGTTGATGCTAATAATGGAAAAGATATAAAACTAAATAGGGCCCCATTGGATGTAGATCACGGGGCAACACTGGGAACCAGCCATGTGACTTCTGAAATTTTTCCAGATGTTGCTCACACAATTGCAAATGTATAACTACAAGAGCTGCAAAAAATTTTTAATGAAATGAAAAGGAAACTGGAAGCCAAATTGTGCATCTAAACCTGTATTCTGTATTTTTTATTCTCTCATGTATGCCTTGAGCATTATGGTGATCAAATGCCTGTAGGAGTCATAAAGCCTGGACACTTGATCATTTTGGTTTAAATATAATATTCTTTTTATTCTGAATGACAGGATGATCAGTTGCTAATTCATTATCTGGGGGTGATGCATCCAACTTTAAATGTTAAAGTGTAGGATCTGGACAAATCTCAAGCAAGCATTTGTAGGTGTGGTGATTAACCTAATATGCAAGCATCAGATTCATCTTTGATTGTTTCTAATATACATTTTGGATCAATGGAGGTCCAACAGAGATCCAGATGAGGCAGGGGCAAATAAACATGCTCAGGAATCCTTCCAATCACATTCCATTCCAAATGGGAAAGACTGAACACACTGTGGATATAAGGTCTGTGATTTGTACAGGTGCTACTGCTCACTGAAGGAACAATTGGAGGAGCGTGAACCAGGGTGTTGCCTTCTCCTATCTCATCCCCAATAAGACAGAGCTTGAATTCTAGATTGTTGTTAGGTATAATCCATCTGTTTTGTTGCTCACATGACAAGGTGGGACCTGTGGCTCAGGACAGCAGCTACAGTCTGTTGTGCAAAATGACCCTGTACCCTGGTTCAGGTATTTCCTGGGCTAGCATTTATTTCCCACATGGCATAGGAGTAACCATGCCTTCTTTCTTCACCTCCACTACTTATGTTGTGGGCATTCTTTACAAATTCCAAATTTGTGGTCACCAGATTTCCAATATATTCTTCCTAGCCATAGTTTTGAAGCAGAAGAATTCAGGTAGATGGTCTACCATGTAGATCACCATGAGAAGGACTCCCACCTTGCATAGAGGTAGATGGTCTACCATGTAGATAGTTCACCATGAGAAGGACTCCCACCTTGCATATGTGAAAATTATGTTGATGGTCTACCATGAGAAAGATTCCCACCTTACATATGGGAATTTGTAGGTGTGCACAGCACCTGAACCCTGGTAAGAGAGCCTGAAGTGTTTTTCTACAATTTCTGTTGCTGTTGCTGTGGCAAGAGAGCCATTTATATCTTGGTTAACAAACAGCCAAGACTATAATGTGCAGCAACACAAAAATAATAACCTTCTCTCTTCTTTCCCATCTTTCATCATGTTTGTTTTAATTGTATGTTTTTAAACAAAAATATTTCCTGATGTTGTTTGTTTAAAACAAAAGAAACCCACACCACCGTTTTATCTCCTGCACCTTCAGTTCACCCCAGCCCTTTGCCTCCCCCAGTCCTTTTCTAAACTTGTTTGTTCCTGAATTTCCTCCTTTCCTGTCCTTAACTAGGCGTCGGGCGAATTGCAGGAGGGAAGAAACCTGGACTCTGTTCCCTTTGTTTAAAGTCACCAGGTTAGTAAACGGGTGGTTTTATTAATGGGTGGGTTGGACTTATCAGACCACCCCTTCCATCCTTCACCATTTAAGTGTTCCTTCAAAACCACCTTATGCCCATCACAACCACCAAAGCATTGCCATTTATTTCACTGCAACCATGTTGTGTGTTTTTTTCAGAATTTAGTTGTTTTCATAAAATTGATTGGAATCTGTGATTTTGGAATTTGTGTTGCTAAGCGAAGGGGATCTATAGTTTTGTAGATCTGATTTATATATATTTATAATATATAATATATATTCACTGGTTGAAGCAGTTACTAAAGCTCTGCTTCCAAGCCACACTTCCCCAAAGAGGGGCAGGAAATTCTGAGTCATAGAAAAGAAGAAGCTGAGAGGGAAAAAGCTCTATCCATGGTACCTCTGCTGTACTGACTTCCTAGTTTTGATGTTCCTACTTGTGTTGCCTTGTGCCTGAGATCCTTTGGGTTACCAGATGTTCAGGGTTCTTGTGGCAGATTTGACTGCAGACTGTAAATTGCCCTTGAGCAAGATGCTTCCTATACAGTCCCACCTCGTTGCTGTTGTCCATTCACTTTTCTCAGCTTTAGTAGCAATGCTAGATAGGGGATACAGTGAATTGTAGTTTGAAAACAGTAACCTGTCTAAGCCCTGTTAATGCCAGTCTCCCCCAGCCTCATTACCTTTATATTTGTTGAACTACAACAGCCATCTTGGGAGAAGAGTAGGCTGCAAAAGACTGCTATACCACTGATGTTGTATGATCTAAACATTTTTTACTAACATCATGGAATTTGACAGATCTTAAAATATTCTTTTTGCTACCATTTCCTAATTAAAACTTTTCTTTTATTCTCCCACCCCCCACAAAAAAAAGTCTCAAGGCTGAGTCAATCTAGAAAATTCAGGGCCAGCTGCAGTAGATCCCTTATCACTTCTATTGCATCTACTTGGTTTTGTGCTAAGAGGTTTCATCTTTACGAAATGGGCTATGCATTTATTGTAGCAAAGGCTTAAAAACATAGAAGCATAAATAATAGGAAAGCAAAATCCATCACAGTCCTTGCAGAGGCAGCCCCTGCTGTGTCTGTCACAATAATGGATTTTATTTCCGTAGAAAATTTGACTTTGAATGTTTTGTGTGAGATGCATTTTGAAGTGAGACAGCTGCCAAAAAAAAAAAAAGCTTAAACCTGTTCAAAATCTGAGTAAATATATTTAAAAAAAAACAAAATGTACTAACAGAGAGTACAAATATGTACCACCATTATTTATTTATTGTTTTTGTCAGCTTCACAAATTTGTTCTCCCTTTAAAAACAAAATAGAAATTCTTGGAATTTTCAGCATGAAAGTGATATCCATGCACCATATAAGTTTGTCCTTATGCCACCCCCACCCCCCAATATTCAGAGGAAATTGTATTTCCATATAGGTATGCACAAAAACAACAGCACTATTTATGCTGAAATCCTAAGCATTCTTACCCAAACGTGGAAAAGTAGCAATGATAACTAGAGGATTCTGGCACTTGCAGTCCAAAAGAATCAGTTTTCAAACTCCGTTCCTTGCTGGTAAGTAAATCCCATTGGATTGACCATGACTTGTTTCTGAGGAGAAATCACTTGTGGTGCAAGAGTAGCTTCCTTCCGGCTTTCTTACTGTTTCACTTACTGTATTTTTCCATTTATAAGATTCCCCCCCCCCCACTTTTCTAACCCCCAAATTAAGAAAACTTAGCTTTAAGTATTCAGCTTCTGGGCTCAGAACGTTCAGACATTAGGAGTCCCTGTTGAATCCTACAGGCTCCACCTCCAACTGAGGTGTGTTCCAATTGGTTTGTTCAGCATCAGCTGACATCAGTTCCATAAGGCTCATGACTGGAGGAAGCTAAGCCTCGTGATTGGAGGAAGCCTGTTTACAGAGGCAAGGTACAGGCCGTTTTGTTCTCTCCATGTTCTCAGCTTACGTCCATGTAAAAGACGCCCCTCAATTTTTAGTGCACTGTAATGATTTTAGGAAAAGGTACTGTCTTATACATGGAAAAATACGGCATTTCTGTGTTCATACTATAAACATTTAAACTACAAGCTACCTTTCAGGGTTGTCTCCCATATGATGGCTAAAAACATATAAAAGTAATCTGTGATAACATATAGCATCATAAATGAAAATGCATTACCAAATATTTAAAAAATTACAGCAATAGCAGAGGGAGAAAAACATATAACCCATTGACAGTAATAATAAGCAGTTTTGAAAACCTAGCATTAATGGTTAAAACAGAAATGTAATACCAAACGTGATTATCAGTTAGAAGCAGTATAGAACAAAGCGATTTGGAAAGGCAGGAACATTAGGCAATATGAGTTGACTGCCTCAGGCAAGAGAGTGAGGAGTGAAGGCAATATGCTGATGGACAGACCCCCTGTGTGCAATGCGTCCTGACTTGAATTCCCTAAGGTACTTTGCTATACTTGAGGGCCATGGAGGATATTGTTCCACTGCCAGTGCTGAAGAAATTGTTCGTAGGCTGATACTTATAGAATTAGATCTACTGTATCTTGTCCTCTCAGGCAGCAAAATATCTTGGGCTTGTCTTGTTATAAGACTTTAGTCTTACTATATAGGAAGGAAGAAAACTCTAGAGGTAAAATTCTCAGTCTTACTCCAGTCCTTCCTTCCCACAGTGTGACCAGATGAGTAGCTATTTACAAGCCTGGAGGGTGGTTCATAGACAAAATGACTGGATCCCCAAAACTGTAAAAATAAGAGGTGCCCCCTCCTGCCCCGCATTGAGAGTTGCAATAATATAGTCAGAGCTTGGAAAAATTACTTTTTGCATTAATCTTCCAGCCAGGAAGACTTGACCATACAGATAGAGACAAACAAAGACAGTGGTGTGTGTGTATGTGCATGGAAAGATGACAGACACACAAGTAGATAGAGAGACAGACAGACAGACATACTGAGTTCTGAATCAGCAAATCTCCCTTTTGGCAAATGTTCTCTCAGCTCCCTCTGCAAAATGGAGATCATAATGCAGCTCCACAGGGTGTATAGTGAGGATTACAACAAGATTAGAATTGCTTTGAACATTCTGAAATGCTATGTAAATGCTAAGCATTCTATTATAGAGACCAATTGGTTTTGGACTTGATAACATTAGCAGGGCTAGGCTTAACAATTACATAAATTGAGGCAAAGGCCTCAGGCAGGAGATACTGCACATCAGAGAGAAAAAGCACAGTGTAGAAGAAGACAGTCTTGAGTGTATCAGGCAGCTTACTGTCTACTAGTCCGGTGAAGCACTTGCCCTGTGACCATTGTTCTAGTAAGCAGACTGGTCAGTTTATGGGACAGAAATGGGGCAGAAAAGATCTTGTCCTTTACCGAAGGTAGCAAAATGTTTGGGGATGGCCTTGAACGTTAGCATTTTACAAGGATTGTTAAACGAGGTTGAGGAATTTAATATGGTCTGGTTTTGCTTTCTTGACCTCTGTGTGTAATTGGCTGTTATAATTATCACTTGATTCTGATAATGCTTGGGTTGACGAGGAAGGGGAGGATAACTGAACTATAAATAGAAATATCTAATGTATATTGGAATGTACACAGGTTATTGCTTCCTAGCTTTGTAGCAGGAAGATAGTTCAGATAATTATAGGGAAGAAGGGAAGCTTGGGTTATGCACAGCATTCTTGAATAGCAAAGTGTTTCAGAATATTTATGCTTTGGTATCTTTACAACTGAGCAAAGGTGCAACTAGATGGGCATTTTCCCCACAATTTGATCAGCCTTGGGGACAAGTTGGTTCACTCCTTTTCTCAGTGACACCGTGAGAGAGTCACCGTCAGTGCCTTGGGCAGGCCATTTGAGGCCATAGCTCCCAGGCTTGTAGTAGGCAAGGTGGAGGAATGACAGTTGAGTGTCAACGAACTGGCTGATGAGGGCCATCTATGATGGGGACAGGGTGAGGCAGAAACCTGGATAAAAGAGGGCCCTGGGATTTCCTTCAGGGAAACAGAGGGAGAGAGTGAAACTTTAGAGGAGGAAGAGGTGTGGGGAGAGGCTGTTGACTGAGGCTTGTGACCTACAATCTTTGCCTCAGTGGAGGATGGGGCCACAGATGAGAGACCTCAGGGCCAGGATTCCAGCACACCGCCAGCACCACAGCTGTGTCGGAGTGGATGCTGCCTAATAGGAGCAGAGGCACCCACTCCAGCCTAGCTGCAGTGCTAGCGATGAACGCGCCAGTGCAAAAAGCAGAGGAAGTTCCAGGAGGAGGAGAGGAGCAGCCACCAGTAACTCCAAACGGATTCTACTGTCCGTCCTTGAACGGGCCAGGACTTATCCTCCCATCTTGCTTTCAGAGACCAGAACTCTCAGGTCACCATGTGGCTTTAACACAGGGCCCTCTTGAAATGACATTCCTTGCTGGGTTAGTGCCAGGAACTGAACTCCCTAGAAAGCTCCTGGAAGGAATAAAGGACAGTGTTCCTCCTTCTCTTGGTTCTTCAGTTGCAATCAAATCTGTTTTTGCTTATTTTCACAACCTGGAGTCCATGAAGTTATTGTTAGGAGGTTCTGCTGCTGCTGGCACCACTGGGGAGGGGAGAGTGTCTGGTGGCACTCACACACAATATACATGCCATTTCAAACTAGTCAACCTGATTGATGCCTGACTGCATCTTTCTGGCTCACCATCAGAGGCTACTGTTTTTCCATGCAGATAAGATCCCTTTGTTCTGGTTTGGTTCCAATGTGTTTGATTGCTTGGAGTGAACTAAAGTGGATGGCTTAAGCTGTTCCTTCTGCTTAACCTGCTTAATAGTCCTGTGAAATGGAAAGCTTCCTTGTTGCTCACCTGCAGAGAGGAAGGAAAATGATGTTTTACATTTCTTTTTAATTGTTGCTGATGCATCAGCAATGCTTTGAAAGGGCCTTTTTAAACAGCTCACATGCCACAACCTTTCACAGAAACCTCTTTGTAAGTGG